ACAATCGAGCTAACTTCTTTTTTTTCTGGACCTAGAAACCTTAAATTTGGCATACAACTTCGTTATGATACAGGTATTACGATGAAAAAAAAAAATCCCGGATCCAAGATGGCCGCCATTTTTATGGCGCCATATTGGATTTTCACATCATGTTTTCAAATCAATACTCCTCTGAAATTTACCGATGGATTTTATTGTCCTTTGGCACACATGCACCCAAGAGGCATATAAGTTAAATATAGTCAGTTTCTTTCGATATTTTATTTCGTTTCGGAGTTACAGGAAGAAGCGTGCAAATCTTGTCAAAAATACAGAAAACGGTCAATTTTCAAAAATTTTTAAATCATAAAATGAAAACCAAGATAGATATAAAAAAAACACTGACAATTCAATGTAACCACTCCTAAGGGCAACAAGTATGCCAAGTGCCATCAAGATACACCTGTAACCTTCAGCGGAGTATCGAAAAATGTGTCAAAAATTAAAAAATCAAATATTTTTGACAAAAAATGAGACACCTCTCTATTTAGTGAAGATAGAACAACATTGTAAGAAGAAAAAATGTTGGACATCCAACTAGCTACAATTGTGCCAAAGGACAATCAAATCAATAGAGAAATGACTGAGAAAAGGCAAAAAATATTGTAATACCCAATTTGACCCAGATTGACCAAAAATAGGTGGGACCCCCCCCCCTTAAATGTTTTGTGCAGTAGAAAGTAGCGAGATTTGCACATCCCTCGTGCATCCTCAACAATTAATAACCTTCTTTTTCTGATTCAATTAAACTTATTTTTCCATCTTGCATAATAGGACAAAGGATCCAATCTTGGTCTCGGCGTAAACATAATTAATTTTAGATGTTTTTCTTTCATTCTATATCTGCGTGAGAAGAATGAATAATCAGGATTAGCAGAATTCTTTTGTCCCCCTCTCGTAAACAAGACAAAATTGATGATAATAGATTGGGGGATTTGCTTTGTTTATAAATAATCTCCTTTTGTTATTTTTGGTGTTTGTGGTCCATTTTCAAAGATTATGTCATCATAATATTCGTTTGGCGACTTTAGAATCTTTCGGGTCATGCACATTCGGGCTTCCGCTTAGAGACGTGCAGCCAAAAGATGTACTGGAAACAAGACATTCATGATTTATGACATGTTCTTGTTTTCCTGCTGTCTGGTGTTTTGCATTTGGATCAACTTGCTGCTATAACTGACTATTAATCGGATTAAGGTTGGAGGAGAAAAGGGTTAGGTGGCAGTAAAGGATGATGGAGAAGTAATGGAAAGAGGGCAATAAAAGAGAAGGAAAGTCGAAAGGAATAGAGAAAAGGAAGTTAGCGGAGCTGGAGGGAGAGGCTGAGGAAGAAAGAAAAAAGAAAGAAGATGGGAGATAGAGACAGAGAGAGAGAGAGAGAGAGAGAGAGAGAGAGAGAGAGAGAGAGAGAGAGAGAGAGAGAGAGAGAGAGAGAGAGAGAGAGAGAGAGAGAATGGTGAAATGGTATAGGTTTAACGCCTCCATCAACACTATTAGGTTATTTAAGAGGCGGGGCCTCCGAGTTTAACGTCCATCTCCGAAAGGACGGAGCCAAAAGAGAAATTCGTGTAATATGCCTTTCTCAGGGATACACGGCTCGAAACCCCGAACCCGCAATCTCACGACTACGAGTCCGGTAGCCCAACCACTGGACTACCGACGCTACACGAGAGAGAGATAGATAGATAGATAGATAGATAGATAGATAGAGAGAGAGAGAGAGAGAGAGAGAGAGAGAGAGAGAGAGAGAGAAATAGAGAGAGAGAGAGAAATAGAGAGAGAGAGAGGGGGGGGGGGTAGTGTAAAAGATTCGACTACCATAACATTCCCCATGGTTATTCGAGCGTTTTTTCTCATGTTAATACACAACTAAGCCGGTTGTGTATACAGTTTTATACTTAGCCAAGTTTTGACCTCATGAACAGCACGAACAGAATGTAAATGTTTGGTTGTGTTAGTAGCCTAGTGGTTAGGCTACCGAACCCGTAATCATGAGATTCGGGTCGTGGGGGTTCGGGCCTCTGTTCAGTCCGACGTTGTGTCCTTGGGAAAGGCACTTTACACGAATTTCCTATTTGGCTCAGTCCTTTCAGGGATGGACGTAAAACTCGGAGGTCCTGCCTCTTAAATAAGCTAATAGTGTTGATAAGGGCGATAAACATCATACACCATTTCATCATTTTTTAAAATGAATGTTTCTCCCAGATACATGCTTGGCCTGGGTGCGCTGCCGTCCACGGTTCAGTTCCTGGGGTTTTTGTTCATGCCTGAGTCTCCCAGATGGCTCATAAGCGTGGGTCGAGAGGAGAAGGCAAGGCGAGTGCTGCAGTCGATGAGAGGAGCCCTGGACATTGACGAAGAGTATGAGAATATCAAACAGTCGTGTACAGAGCTACAGCAAGAGGAACAGAACAGAGGTCTGTATGTCATAGATAGATAGATAGATAGATAGATAGGTAGATAGATAGATAGATAGATAGATAGATAGATAGATAGATAGATAGATAGATAGATAGATAGATAGATAGATAGATAGATAGACGCAGTGATAGATAGATGTACGAGGAGCATACCAAAAGTTTTTATTTTACCTGACCATGAAGGGATACAGGTAGAAAACTGAAATGTGGGGTGAAAGCCAATAATTATCTTCCAAGAATGCATGTGAATTTGGGGGAAGTTCCGATAACTGGTTTTAACACCAGCGCACTGTATTTGAATGGGGGTATGCTGTTCTCCAGTTTCAACATAAAAATGGGAAAAATTGAGCACAGGGCAGTAATGAAGTTTTTGTTCTTGCAAGGCAAGCAACTATAGGGTATTTATTTTACTGAGATGCATGACGTTTATGGAACTCATTGCCCATCATTTGCTGTGATTTTGGTATAAAAAATTCAAAAGCAGATTTATGGATATTGAAGATGACCACCGTGATGGTCGCCCAGTGACAGAAGCAACAGAAGAGAATGTGTTGAAAATTAAGAAACCTGTATTGTTTGATATGCTGGTGACAGTCGAACATTTGAGCAACGAAACTAGGATTAGCATTTGATCAGTTGAACGAATCTCAAATGAACATTTGGATATGACCAAAGATTCTGCGAGATGGGTCCTACATTTGTTGACTCCTCCTCAAAAAGTTGAACATGTGGATTGTTGTCACGAATTACTTAGCCCGTATGAAAAGGATAAAACAATTTTTTTTAACAAACTTGTAACCCTGGATGAGACATGGGTCCACCACTATGATCCAGAGTCAAAATATCCATCAATACAGTGGAAAACGCCCTCATCTCCAGCACCAAAGAAGGCAAATGTGTAGCCATCAAGTGGAAAAGTGATGCTATCAGTTTTTTAGACCAAGAAGGAGAGATTATGACAGACTATTTTACTTGAAAATGGACGTACGGTCACCGGAGACAAGTATTCTAACAAACTAAAAAAATTACGAGATGGTATAAAAGGAAAACGCAGAGAAAAAACCGAAAAGGCATTTTGCTGCTCCACGACAACGCGCCAGCACACACTTCAAGAAAAGTTGTAGAAATTGCGCGAGAAAGTGGCTATGAAATCTTGCCACATGCACCCTAATCTCCAGATTTAACCCCATCCGACTCTCTGCTTTCCCAAAATTGAAAAATGATTTTAAAAAAGGCATTTTGAAAGTGATGATGACTTCAAAGAAGCGGTAGAGGGCTGGTTTTATACCAAAGAGAGGGTCTTCTATTCTCAAGTTCTTTTCAAGGTCACACACAGATGGCAAAAAGTATAACTGTGGGAGGCGACTACATAGGAAAAGATTAAGGCTAGTACCAAATTCAAGCTGTCTACCTTTATTTCTTCATGGCCAAGTAAAAAAACTTTTGGCATGCCCCTTGTATGTATGTATGGACTTGGTTGGATGGATAGATTGGTTTATTTATTTACAGATAGATAGATAGATAGATAGATAGATAGATAGATAGATAGATAGATAGATAGA